AGTAAGGATTGAAGGGTGAAGGGAGGTTCGGAGGGTGTATTGGAGGGAGGTCGGAGGCCCCTTGGAACTCTACTGGGAGCCTCTGGGGCCGTCTTCGGGCAAGCAGAGCCAATGATGATCCTGCTTGCTGGGGCGCCTGTTGACCTCCTTCCACGCCGCATATTCGAGCACATTCAAGTCTGCGCTGCGCTTTGGGATAGCGAGAACATCGATATTGGACGCCGTCTTGGCATCTCCGCCCTTGGTGGACTTGGGCCCCGTAGGGTCGTTGTCCTAGAGCACCACGCGCTTGCGCTTCCGCGCGCGCTCTGCGCTCAGCGCCGTCCTGAGGGAGCCCGGGTGCACGTCTGCGGCTGCCTGGCCGCCCCAGCGGTCCGTTGGCGCCGCGCGCCGCCTCGGCGCCTTGCTGCCGCCCGCGGCGGCGATGGCCAGCAGGTTCGTCTTCGTGCCCGTCTGCAAATACTTCCCTTGCCCGCGGCTTCGCGTAGCCCGCGGTCAATCCCTTTCAGGGGGCCCGGATCGCTCCGAAGGCGGCGCGTCGTGCAGCGCGCGCCCCCTGGGCGCGGTTGAGGTGGACCTGGAAGCACTTCTCATCGACGGAAGCGTGGACGTGAGAGACCCACAATGCCTTAGACTTCTTGCGGCACTTCTTGGCGAACGCCAGGCGGTCCATGATGTTGTCGTCCTTGAGCGCGGGCTTCTCCCGGAGCTTCCGGACGCGGGTGTTGCGCTTGTGCAAGACACTCAGCATGGGCCGCTGCGACGCCCGCGACAAATCCCAGCGCGGGGGGGGGGGGGGGGGGCGCTCGGACGGTGGACGTTTGCAAAGGCAACCAGACGCGCCATGAAAATCTTGCCGCCCCCTCCCGGGCGCGGAGTCACGCATGGGGCCCCGACGATCCTAAAGGGCGCGCCCGAGTTCGGAGCGCCCGCCCCAACCTTCGTTCTCGTGGCCCTCTTGAGCATCGCAACAGTCACGTGGTATTTGCAGTTGACTTCCGAATGTGGTCGTCGATCTTGGTCGTGTAGACCTGGATCTGGCCGTCGGTCAAGCGCGGGGGGCGCCCTGGCTGGCGTCGAGGCGTCTGCTTCACCAGCAGGCGCTCCAATACCCAGCGGTGCCTACCCAAATGCTCCACGATCTCTCGGGGTAACATGCCCTGATCGTGGTACATGGCCACGGCGACGAGCAATTCGATCGGCTAACTTCTTCCACCCGGTCGCTGGCGCGGCGGCGGCTGGAGGGGGTAGAGAGCGCGCGAGAAAACTCGGCACTGGACACGCGGCTTCGCGCGGCAATTGTCACGAGGTTTGCCTGGCGGTGATCCCGCGGTTGTCCCTGGCGGCTGCCCCGCGCGGCTGCCCCGTGTCAGTTGCCCTGCGCGGCTGCGCCGCGGCTGTCCTCGGTTGCCCTTGCGCCAAGCAGATGGCCCGTGGTTAGATAGATAACGAGAGGCGCGGTAAGAACATATGCATGTTGACTAGCTGCGCGGCGTTGAGAACGGTGGCGCATGCCAACAAATGGACATACATACATACATATATACATACATACATACATACATACATACAGACAGACAGACAGACAGACAGACAGACAGACAGACAGACATACATACATACATACCCGCAGACATGCCTACACATGTCGACACGCATGCATACAGGCATGCATGCACACATGAAAACATTCATACACACATACGTACATACATACATCCATACAGGTGTGCGCGCGCGTTCACTGTCGTGCTCACTGTTTGCGCGCCCGCGCATGTAAAACTCTGACCCTGAACCGATTCATGGACACACCCGCGCAACCGTGGCGACGGCGCAAACCGTCACGCGCCCCCTCTTCCCCCGATTGAATGCTGATTGGCTGCGCCCGCGGGGTGCAAGATTTAGGCCAGCCGGCAGATCGACACATTGCGCCACAGCCTGCCATTACTAATTTGGACACACAGGGGACAACACCAAAAATCTGCAAGGAAAAAATGCCAAATGCTGTCTGTCAGCCGAACTCCACCGAAGGCCCAAATAGTTACGTTCACATGCGCACACCGCACCCAGTTTTGGCACGCCCTTCACACGCTTCGTGGCCCCATAGGGAGCTCCACCGGAGGCCGCAGTGGCTGCGTTCGCATGCGCTCACCGCGCCAATTCGGCACACACACACACACCACACGTTTCGTGGACCCATAGGGAGCTCCACCGACGGCCCCAATGGCTGCGTTGGCTCCACCGACGGCCCCAGTGGCTGCTTTCGCATGCGCCCACCGCGCCCGATTTGGCACACCCTCACATGCTTCGTGGCCGAGCTCCACCGACGGCCCTAGTGGCTGCGTTCGCATGCGCCCACCGCCCCCATTTTGGCACACCCCTCACACGCTTCGTGGCCCCATAGGGAGCTTGACCGACGGCCCCAGCGGCTGCGTTCGCATGCGCCCACCGCGCCTGTTGTGGCACACCCCTCACGTGCTTCGTGGCCGAGCTCCACCGACGGCCCTAGCGGCTGCGTTCGCATGCGCCCACCGCTCCCATTTTGGCATACCTCTCGCACGCCTCGTGGCACCATGCAGATCGCAACCGACGGCCCCAATAGCTGTGTTCGCGTGCGCCCACCGAACCCTTGTGGCACGCCCCTCACACGCTCCGTGGCCCCATAGGGAGCTCCAACGACGGCCCCAGTGGCTGCGTGGCTGCGGTCGCATGCGCCCGCCACCTCAATTTTGATTCAACCCTCGCACGCTTCGTGGCCCCATAGGGAGATCCACCGACGGCCCTAGTGGCTGCGTTCGCATGCGCCCACCGCGCCCGATTTGGCACACCCTCACATGCTTCGTGGCCGAGCTCCACCGACGGCCCTAGTGGCTGCGTTCGCATGCGCCCACCGCCCCCATTTTGGCACACACCTCACACGTCTCGTGGCAGCATAGGGAGATCGACCGACGGCCCCAGCGGCTGCGTTCGCATGCGCCCACCGCGCCAGTTGTGGCACACCCCTCACCTGCTTCGTGGCCGAGTTCCACCGACGGCCCTAGCGGCTACGCTCCCATGCGCCCACCGCTCCCATTTTGGCATACCTCTCGCACGCCTCGTGGCACCAAAAGGAGCGCCACCGACGGCCCCAATCGCTGTGTTCGCGTGCGCACACCAAACCCCTTGTGGCACGCCCCTCATACGATCCGTGGCCCCACAGGGAGCTCCAACAACGGCCCCAATGGGTGCGTGGCTGCGTTCGCATGCGCCCACCGCCCCCATTTTGGTTCAACCCTCGCACGCTTCGTGGCCCCGTAGGGAGATCCAACGACGGCCTCAGCGGCTGCGTTCGCATGCGCCCACCGCGCCGGTTGTGGCACACCCCTCACATGCTTCGTGCCCGAGCTCCACCGACGGCCCTAGCGGCTGCGTTCGCATGCGCCCACCGCCCCCATTTTGGCATACCTCTCGCACGCTTCGTGGCACCATGAGGAGCGCCACCGACGGCCCCAATAGCTGTGTTCGCGTGCGCCCACCGAACCCCTTGTGGCAGGCCCCTCATACGCTTCGTGGCCCCATTGGGAGCTTCAACGACGGCCCCAGTGGCTGCGCGGCTGCGTTCGCATGCGCCCGCCACCCCCATTTGGGTTCAACCCTCGCACGCTTCGTGGCCCCATAGGGAGATCCACGGACGGCCCCAGTGGTTGCTTTCGCATGCGCCCACCGCGCCCGTTTTGGCACACCCCTCGCACGTCTCGTGGCCCCGTAGGGAGCTCCACCGACGGCCCTAGTGGCTGCGTTCGCATGCGCCCACCGCACCCAGTTTTGGCACGCCCTTCACACGCTTCGTGGCCTCATAGGGAGCTCCACCGACGGCACCAGTGGCATTTTGGCATACCCGACGCGCGCTTGGTGGCCCAAGCGAGCTCCTCCGAAATTGGTACATACAAGGACGGTGCTCACAGCTATGGTTCGGTCTTTCGCAAGGCTCATTATTTTTAGCGTCCGAACGTTGTCAGCTCTTCCAAAACGGTGATGCCGCTGCAGCGTTGACCTCCGCTTCGCTCCCGTCGTTCAAACTGGCGCTTGCGGCCCAATGCGGACTTCTGGACGAATCCGTCCCTCGCGGTTGCCGCCCCGCTCCTTTTCCCCTTGTACTCCAGGTAGTGCTGATGCTGTTCCTCCGCGCCCCCCTCCTTCCTTCCTTATCCGCATCATGTCCTTCCTCCTGCTTTATCATGTTGCTCATCTTCTGCCCCCCCCTGCTCCTCCAATCTTCAGAACTCCCCTTCTTCTGATAGCGCATAACACGATGGGGCCCGTCTGGGGATCACGTCCGCTAAGACCGCCGTCGGCAGAGACAGAGCAGCATCAGCGCCATGAGAAGGGACCGGCCTGGTGGAAGGGGCAGGATGTCGGAAACGATGCGCGCGCATCTGGCTCGATACCATCCCCTCGCCCCTGTCATCCCTTACCCTTCCCATTCTCACCCTCCTCCCCACTCCATCCCCGCTTTTCCCTTCTCCCCCATCGCCCCCCTGGATCGGGCACGGAGCGTGAAGGACTGCATTGGCGATCGGCGGGGGGGGGCGCCGGGGGGGGAAGGGGAGAGCTGGGTGGAGTGGGGTCCGAGAAGCAAGGGTGGAGACGAGTGGGCCAACGGGGGTGACATGACCACTTCTGGAGTGGAGGCAAATAATCTGGGCTGGGGTGTTGCAGTGGAGGCACAGCAATGGCAAGAGAAAGCGAGGACGGGTTGAGCGAGGGCGTAGAAGGCTTGATGCACGATGGTGGAAGAACTCGGAGATTGCTGAGAGGACGAATCGGGGTGGAAACCTTGGAGTAACACCTCAAATGTTCCCATCAACAAATACTAGCAATAAAACAGCTCGTCTGTGAGAATCTTCGAACAAAAACGCTGCCGTCTTTCTTGGGAAACTCTAGCCGTTTGAATTGTGGGCCTGCGGGCTTCCCATGGATTGGCCAAGAAGGGTGGCAGCAGGAGGCCCACCCTTGGGCACTTCGTCTGGAGGACACGCAAGGACGGCATCTCCATGACCAGATCCATGACCTTGGCACTCTGGAGCGGCGGAACCCACACCAGAGAGCTGTTGCAGCAATGGTGACCATGCTGCTGTGAGCACGAGGTGGTGCCCAAGCCTGGACGGTGCCATAGGCACGCGATGATCTTGACCCGACGCCTGCAATCACAATCCACAACAGTGCTGCGAGTCACAACGAAGGATGGATAAGAGCCATGTCGACTAGGATGCATGAACCAATGATTTCAGATTCCCAGTACTGGGCAATAAGGGTCAGGGGGACGGCGTCCGCGGCCATGGAGACACAAGAACGGCGGACAAACACTCAGACCATTGCAACTCGAGGTGTGGTCCCAAGAGGGCACCACGATCGTCGAAGAGAGCCCCAAGAGGGGCTCCAAAGAGCTCTAAAACGGCGCCGTAGTGCCCCCACGAGCGCACAACTCGCGCCCTCCAGGGGAAGCATTCTGACTCGCACGAGCGCCACTACTCAAAGCCGACCCCTTTTTTTGCGTTGATTCCTCGATGTTTCGAATATTGCGTCCAGAGGCCCCCCAAAAGCCCGCAAGAGCGCCTCCAAGGGCTCCCAGCGGCCCCAAAACTCAATACCCGGTCTCTCTGCCTGGGCTGGCTACTTAGACTCTGGATGGGCTGGCAGAAGAGAGCTCTTGAGGGAGGATTCGGACATGCGGCGTCCCTGCCAACACAGTGAGGCCACCGCGGCGTCTCCAAGCCGCCCCTGACGGCGCGAACTAGAGGCACGGCACGAGGGGCGGAGGCGTGGGCAGATAGCACACGCGCGCGACACGAGGTGCACAGACGCCGGAAGACGCGCGCAGTGCGAGACCCCAAGAGAAACAAAACCGACCGCAGCGCGTGCGGACCACCATGCCGGCCGGGGCCAGCGGGGATGCCTGCGCTACGGTTTGGTCGGGCATGTCCCCCTACTGGCGATTTTTGTTACAAGTAAAAATGCCCCCAACATGCGCCCAAAGTGCTCAAAAATAGTCCAGCAATCGTCCCCCACCTATCTTTTAAAACTATGTTTGAATTTTCCCCCTGCAGAGGGACAGGCCCAACTTAGCGCTACGGAGCCACGCCCCCTCGAGGGCGGCGCCATGGGGGGCCCGCAGGCCGTGGGCGCGAGGCCCGCGGCCTCGCGGCCCAGACCCCTCGGGCCGCGGCCTCGCGGATATCTGCGGGGCGGCTCTGCGCGGAGAGCCCGCGCCGGGGGTCTGTACTGACCTGGGCCAGGCCCGGGCCAGCCAGGCCTGGCAGGATCCTGCGGGATCCTGCAGGGTCCTGCACCCGGGCCCGGGTCAAGTGCAGCCCCAGGATCCTGCAGGAGCCAGCGCCCTGGCTGACCCCCGTCTGCACTGACCCCCGTCTCTTGAGCCCCGACTGTGGCCCTGGGATCGCGCACCGGCACCCAGACCGCGAGGGCACGGGCACGAACTGGCGCGCCCGACCAGGGCACGGAGAACACGATGCCCAAGAGGAAATGTTGCCCCACCCCGGCAGCGGCCGCTAGTGGGCAGGCGACTGTTTGTCTCCAGCGGGCAGCGGCTGCGGCGACGCAGACACCGAATCCGCTTTGATCCTCCAGAGATGACCCGTGTCCGAGGGGCCGCGCTCTGGCACCATGTCCGCGAAGGCCTGGACACGGATATCGCCACGGGGGAAGCGGCCCCGAGGGAAACGGGTCACACGGTTTTCGCCGTTCTATGGCTCTCGGGGCCCTCCACGGGCCCTGGGACTGACAGAAACGGACTCAGTTTGAAGAGCTGGTCCTCGGGGAAGGCCCGGGTCCAAGACCCGTTTCCCTCAGGACCCTCTTGCGCCATGCTGAGGATACGCACTTCGCTCGTGAACGGGCTCGGCCACTGATGACTCCGAAGGCCCTGCCGTCGGCCGAGCTGGCCAGCCGGAGGCGCCCTGCGGCCTGAGGCGCCCGCGGAGCTCTCCGCGACCTCGTGGCAGTCGGATATGTCGAGGCGGCGGAGCCGCGGGCAGTTGCGCCTGATAGCCTTGCGCGGGCTGGAGCTCCGACGGGCTGGAGCTCCGACGGGCTGGAGCTCCGACGGCTGGGCCAGGAGGGGGGGTCGTCGGAGGAGGGGGAGGCGACACCACCACCACCAGGGGCAACGTTCGAGGTCCGAGTTCGAGGTTCGAGGTTTTCGGACGGTCGCGTCGGTCCTCGGTGGGTGTCCAACCTCGGGATGCTTTCCAGAAGCTGTGCCTCCCCGAAGGGCGTTCCAAGGGGGGCCCGGATCGTGCCGAACGGCCGCTGGAGAGCCGATGTGTGACCCGACAACCAAGGGGGGGACCATCACGGGGGAACTGGCCCCATGGGGGAAACATCGAGCTGGAATCGAATCGAGGTGACGTGCCGTGGGGCCTGTCGCTGAGGTCCATCCATGGACGTGCCCGACTCTGCCAAAGGGGCGCCAAGCATGAAACGCGAGAGTTCAAAATGGCAGCTCTTCCTGTCGTGCCGCGAAACCCGCAGCACGCCCTTCGTGTGGGAGCATCTCCAGCCCCGCATCGGGGGGACGAGAGGATGGATTCCAGTCGAACCTAGGCCAGAAGAAAATCCCCCAAGAAAATGAGACCCTCCGTGGCACAGAACACATAGAACATCCAAGGGAACCCTCCACCAGATACACAAGGACATCTAACAAACACAAAGAACACTTGGGCACCCTCCCCGCACCGACCTCGATCTTATATCTCGGCCCAACTGTATCAGGTGGGACCAGGGCGCACTGTATGCAGCCAGCCTTCTCGCCGCCAGGAGGACACCGAGGAAAATGCCGTGCGGGGGGCCGAAAACGAGCTGCACTGCACGCGGCAGCTTTTTCGTCGAGCACACACAGCCACACACACACACACGCACGCACGCACGCACGCACGCACGCAAGCACGCACACACACAACACACACACAAACACAAACACACACACAAACACACACACACAAACACACACGCACACACAGACAGACAGACAGACACAGACACAGACACAGACACAGACACAGACACAGACACACACACACACACACATACACGCACACACACAAACAAACACACAGACACACACACACACCACACACACACAAACGCACACCCGCACACACACGCACACACAGACAGACGGACAGACACAGACACAGACACAGACACAGACACAGACACAGACACAGACACAGACACAGACACAGACACACACACACACCAACCACACACACACACACACACACACACACACACTCCTGAGCCCCCACCACGCCCCCCAGCCTTGGAGGCGGCCGGGGGGTCTGAGATCCTGGCGTCGCCACCGTTTCGAGCGGGGCGCCCTCGAACAGTTTCGGGCGCCAGGACCCTCACAGACCGATCCGGCTCGAAACATTGAGCAGGAAGATGGGATCCGGGGCTCTGGTGGTCATTTTCTGTGATGCTGTAGCGTTCTGGAAACGTCGGATCTCAGGCGGCGTCTGACGTGGAAGGGCCCATCTGATGTAATCTTTTACCTTGGACTTGTTTTTGGTTATCTCCAGGCCCGAATACGGCCACTGGAGGCACAGAGAAAACAATACTCCGACGGTCGGACCCCACATGAGAGTCTATGTAACTTGCCTCTCGCCCTTGTCCTCTTCGACTGGCGCTGGCCCTCCTCCCGCTTGTGCGTCCTCCTCCTTCTCCTCCTCCTCATCCTCATCATCATCGTCCTTCTCACCCTACCCGTTGCATGTCTGATCCTCATCTTCCTTATTCTCCTCCTCCTGCTCCCCCTCCTCCTCCTCCTCCTCTTCTCTTCCTCCTCCTCCTCCTCCTCATCGTCCTTCATCTCCTCTCTCTCTCCCTCGTATTCCCCCTGTTCCTCCTCCTCGTCTTTTTCCTCCTCCTCCTCCTCCACCTTGTCCTTCTCCTCCCCCTCCTCATCTCCATCCCGCCTGCTCTCCTCATGCACCTCGCCTTCCCCCTGGCAGGGGCGCGCATGTCGATTGTTTTGCTCGGCGCCCTCGCTGCCACGCCCAGCAAGGGCGCGTTTTCCGACTGCACATTCGCGAAGCCGTTGGGACAGCCCTGAGGACCAGGCCGTTGGAACAATATCGCGAGCCCGACGCGGGGGCAACTCGTTGGGACAACCCCGCAGGCACCGAGCTACTCGCTGCAACGCTTTGGCGGGAGGCAGCACGAAACACAGCACTGCCGCGAGGATTGCCAAGCTCGGATTATAAAATGAAGTGTAGGCCCCAAAAGTAATGGGGCACTCGCCTGAGTCTTCCTCGCGATTCACTCACAGACGGGGCTCCCGCCTGAGACTTCCTCCATGCTCGGGCCTGATGAGCCCAAAAATGAAGACACTTGCGAGACTTGGATGAGTCGCTCGGGTTAGAACATGAAAGGCGGGCCCCAGAGGGTGGGGGGCTCCAACTGAGACTTCCTCGTGATTCACTCACATACGAGGCTCCCGTCTGAAGCATCCTCTATGTTCAGGCCTGAAGAGCCCAAAAGTGACGACACTTGGAAGACTTGGATGGCCCGCTTGGATTAAAACATTAAGAGCGGACCCCATAGGGAGAGGCCTCTCGCCTGAGACGTCCTCGCGATTCGCTCGCACACGAGATCCAGTCTGAGACTTCCTCAACGTTCAAGCCTGAGGAACCCAACAACCAGGAACATTTGCAAAATTTGGATGGCCCGCTCAGGTGAGGACATGATGCGCGGGCCACATAGGGACGGGGCTCCCAGACGAGGCTCCCGTCTGAGACTTCGTCTATAATCAGGCCTGAGGAGCCCAAGAACGGCGACACTTACAGGACTTCGATTGATTAGAACATGATGTGCGGGCACCGTAGGGACGGGGCTCCCGCCTGAGACTTCCTCGCGATTCACTCACAGACGAGGCTCCCGCCTGAGCCTTCGTCTTATGCTCGGGCCTGAGGGGCCCGAAAGTGACGACCCTTACAGCATTTGGGTGAGCCGCTCGGATTAGAACGTGAAGTGCGAGCCCCATAGGGTGGGGGCTTCAACTGAGACTTCCTCGCGAATCACTCACAGACGAGGCTCCCGTCTGAGGCATCCTCTATGTTCAGGCCTGAGGAGCCCAATAGTGACGACACTTGCAAAACTTGGACGACTCGCTCGAATTAAAACATGAAGTGCAGACCCCGTAGGGAGGTGGCTGGCGCCTGAGACGGGGCTTCCGCCTGAGACTTCCTCAATGTTCAAGCCTGAGGAACCCAACAGTCATGACAAGTAAAAGATTTGGATGGCCCCCTCGGATGGGAACATGATGCGCGGGCCCCAGAGGGACGGGGCTCCCACCTTAGACTTCCCCGCGAGTCACTCACAGGCGAGGCTCCCGTCTGAGACGTCTTGTAAATTCAAGCCTGAGGAGCCCAAACGCGACGACAATTACAGGATCTGGGTGACCCGCATTTCCTTGTATATTCAGGCCTGAGGAGCCCAAAAATGAGGACACTTAGGATTTTGATGACCTGCCAGGATTCGAACATGAAGTGCGGGCCGCATATGGTGGGGGGGCTCCCGCCTGAGACTTCCTCGCGATTCACTCACAGACGATGGTGATTGCCTGAGACAGAATGATGAGTAAGTGCGTGGTGGGTGAATGTGACCGCGTGGGTGAGAGTGAGTGTGAGTAGTTGATGATTATGACTGCCGGTGACCATGATGGGCGTTTGACAGGACAATGAATGAGCGGGTGATGTGTGAATGCGCGACAATGTCAGCGGGTGCTCATGATGATCGGTGATCATGATGGGAGGGTGATGACAGAAGGAGGGGGTGAGGTGTGAGGTTGCTGAGCGGAGGTGTCCAGAGAAAGCAAAAACCTCACTTGGGATGTGGGGCATGTTCCTGGCGAAATGCCTTGCCAGATGCAATTGTGAGCACCGCCTTGTGGTTACCCTATGGGGCCTCGTGAAGGGTGAGGGCATCGTGAGGGCCGAGTTGGGCGGGGGGACGCAAGCAGAGCATGCCACTGGGGCCTTCGGTGGAGCTCACCATGGGGCCACGATCCTCATGAGGAGTGTACCGAAATGGGCGGGGGGGCGCACGCGGATCCTGCCACTGGGGCACTCGGTGGCGCTCCCGATGGGGCCACGATCCTCGTGAGGGGTGTGCCGAAACGGGCGGGGACCCTGCTGCTGGGGCCTTCGGTGGAGCCCCTCGTGGGGCCACGATCCTTGTGAGAGGAGTGCCGAAATGCGCGGGGGGACGCATGCGGATCCTGCCACTGGGGCCTTCGCTGGAGTTCCCTATGGGGCCACGATGCTCGTGAGCGGTGTGCCGAAATAGGCGTGGGGACGCATGCAAACCCTGCCACTGTCGCATTCGGTGCAGCTCGCTATGGGGCAGCGACCCTCGTGAGAGGGGTGTGCCGAAATGGGCTTGGGGACGCATGCGGACCCTGCCGCTGGGACCTTCGATGGAGCTCACTACGGGGCCACGGTCCTCGTGAGGGGCGTGCCGAGATTGGTCTATGCGGGATCCTTGTGAAAGGTGTGCCGGCATTGGCGTGGAGACGCATGCGGACCCTGCCGCTGGGGCCTTCGGTGGAGCTCCCTATGTGGCCACGGAACGTGTGAGGGATGTGCAGAAATGGTGGACATGCGGAGAGCAGAAGGAGGGGGACGAGGAGGAGAGGAGGAGAGGAACGCGGGGTGCTGTCTCTCCAAAACGAGGACCCAGCACCACAGGCCGGTTGGGAATTAAAGCAACTTCTCGAGCCAAAAACCTCAAACCTCGCCCCCCCTCCTGCTTGCCCAAACCGGTGCTGGGGCACCTCAGACCTCCGGCCGACTCCAAGTCGAGCCGACCACCCCTCACGAGCTCACGAGCCCTGCGCTCAGCCAGATGGCGGGAAGGGCGCGTCCACACCCCCGCCCGCGGGGGCCCGGAGTCTCGGCGGCCTCGCGCGGAGGCCCGTGGAGCGCAACCCGCGGGGTCGCGCAGCCCGCGGGACGGCGCGCCTCGGTGCCCCTGCCGCGAGGGCCACGG